TCACGAAATATTGCAGCAACGCGTCGCGACGGTTGGATCTCCAATACAAAAACTTGGACCATGTATAATGAAAAAAAATTTACAGATTGGAATATTTGAAGACAGTGGGCTTCAAATTTCAAATTTAATTTTAAAATAATATATTCAAAATAATACTCAACATTATATTTTTTATTTTTACTATTTTTAATTTATTTTTTATTACCAATTTTAATATCACTGTGACACACTGTAAATGATTAATTTAATATTAATAATAATTACGATTTTAATTAAATACACATTTTTTATAAAATTGATTTATGGGTTATTAAAAAGGTAATTTTTTTTGCGCTCGTGGGTTATTTATTTTTGCACTTTTGGGTTGCGTTTAGGTCATATTTTGCGCTTATGGGCTACACCTTATTTGAGTTATCGAATTGAAATAATTTTGTGGATAGTTTATTATTATAATGTCAAGTTCTACTAAGAAGGATTTTTCAAAATTTTGATTTTTAAAGGTTAAGTCGGTAAAAATAATACCAATTACGCTATCGAAAAATAATAATACTTTTCTTATCGATATTAGATAAACGTGTTGAACTATACAAATTATAATTATAACTACACTACTACAGAATCATTTTTTAATAACAATATGAGTAGAATCATTTGTAAATATTATTATTATTATTATTTTTGTTTTATTAATAATTCAGCTACTACTACTATTTAGCACTTGAAAGCATTAAGTAATAATATACATTTTTTTCTTCTTTAAAACAATGTGTGTTGATTTAAGAATTGCATTTTTAAATGCATGCTACACACGGGCGAAGCCGGGTAATTCAGCTAATAAGACCAAAAAAAAATTAATTATTTATTTGTTTTAATGCAGTTATAGGTATTTAACGAATTATTTTTTAATTGAACTAATAAAATCTAAGATATCTATATACATATAGGAGGCCACCCCTATTCAACGCCCAGACCAAACCTCTGAGTCTAGAGACTTGACATTTTGTACAGAGGATCCTTAAACAATGTAAAGGGACAATAAGAAAGGATTTTTCAAAATTCGACCTCTGATAGGGTAAAAGGGGTTTTTTTTATATAGCTATATTGCCTATATAATACACGGGCAACTAGTATTAAGAATACAAAAACACGACAATTATTATGATACTCCTAAAATGTAATTGAGTTATGTAACTAATATACGTAGCTTGGTGTGCAGCTGCGTCTGAACACCGTCTATCCGTGTAAAATACGTTTGGTTGTAGAGTGGGGGAATCGGCAATTACATGTGACCATGGTGTGCACTGTGCAGCTCCTACTGCACATTTTTCAGGCGGTCGCGAGCGATAAACACACATGGTGAATGATATCGACGTAGCGACTAGCGAGTGCCGCGCCGCATAGGCTTTAATAAATTTGATTTTTTCAATATTATTAATTAAGAGGATGCTAATCCGCATGTTTGTCTCTGTCTTACAAGAGCGTAACATATCAAATTTTACGTTCAGCAGATCACGTTTAGCTCAGTTAGCTTAAAAATTAGAGTGAAATGACCTCGTATTAAAATTAAAGGTAAGATTATTACGGAGGGTTTCTCGTGGGCTTTTTATCAAATTTTAATTTTAAAGAGAGTTATGAGTATTTAAAAATTGTAAATTGTTTGAACAACTTAAAATGCTCATAACTCTCTTTAAAATTAAAATATAATAAAAAGCCCATTAAAATCCTCATGTTATATTATATTATTATGTCCTCTTAATAACTTCACTATGGTAGTTTTTAGCGGTTTTCTTCTAGCCCCCTGAATGGAAGGGTCAAATCGAATCGGTTGGATTAGTATTATATTATAGTAATAAAAACTCATCAAAATTAAAAACCATTCAGTTCGCAAAGGAAACTACATGTGGCAGTAAGCGTGCGGTAGGTAGGCGCGCGTTTAAATTGTGTATAAATACATAATATTATTAATATAATTAATAATTATACGTCATTACGCTGCAGATGTCGGTACTCGGTAGCCGCTTCGACATATATATATCCCAACAAAAACACTACGCCAAATTACGTGTAAAAAAACGCTCAGTATAAAAAAAAAACCACCTCAAAAAATTGTGATATCATTTTATAACTATGTAGGAATAGATATTTATTATAATTTATGTTAAAATTCACTGCTTATAAATTGAACTTAGCTGGTGACTTTAAAATTATAGCACTTAATTAGTAATTTATAACAATTAATTTATATAACACTTAATTAGTATCACTCATTTTCAAAGATAACCTGTATATTCAATACGAAATGAATTCTCATGAGTTTTAAATAATGTCACCAGCTAAGTTCAATTTATAAGCAGTGCATTTTAACATAAATTATAATAATATATCTATTCCTATATAATTTAAACACATAGCTATAAAATGATATCATTAAATATTATAATGTCATATATGCATTATTATATATTAAACATTTAAGGTTTTAATTATTTTTTTCCATTAATTGAATATATACGCGAGCCGTTAGTCGTTACTTATTAACTGAAAGCACCGCCGCCGCGAGCGCTGTGACAAAACACGTCGCGAACAATCGAGTGCAAACTGTAAATTACGAAATGGTTTGTTGTTTGTTTTTGCAATATTGTCAGCTGTCACCATGGAGTAATAATATCGTCCGTGCATCGTCGTAGTACATCGACTCATCGCTTATCCCAACTCTTCCGTACGCAAAATCGGTCTCAAAGGTACTTTAACATTTTTGCTTATAACTTACAAACTATCAAACCAATCTGCTAGCAAATTCTTCTGTTCTCACCTGCACAATATTTCTGATCGATTGATACCTCATACTACTTTATATGTTCAGCCGTTTGCCCTGTAGATGTTGGCAAAGAATTGACATAAATTAGGACGATTTTTCAATGTTAAAACTCGGTGTCCTGTTATTATACGTTATTATCGAATAACATTTTCTTTTTTACCATTAAAATTCATAATATATTTGGCTATAACACCATTTATAATGTTCAGATCGGATAAATAGTGCAGCATTCTCTTCTACGGAACATTTCCAATAAGATTGGTGCATTGCTAAACTAAATTATTCTACAAGAAATTAGGTATGCATGGACAACTATTTTTTTTCCTGATTTCCGATGTTTCCTGTAATTATACCCGGCAGTTGTCGCGCGTTGTGATTGCCGATGCGTTCATTTTAAGGCGTTTTTTTTATACTTAGAGCGACCCTGCCGGGTCGTTGGATGCTGAGACTTTACACATTTTAATCTGCAGATAAAAGATGAAATATTTCTTGACATTTTTTCAACATTGGATTTGAAGCCCTAAATTAACGAGTTCTCACAGAAAATTTTTCTTATTTTGTGGTAATTAAAAAATGAATAACCGTAAATACTTGAAATTTTCACCAAATATTTATTTTATAATTTTTGAAATATGATATAAGTTTATAAAATATTTTGAATCTTTTTATTCGTAGACATTTCAATTTTTAATTGTTATTATTTTTTTTTCTATAAATATTGTTAAATTTGGTTTTTGGAGATCAAAATGCTCGAAAATGCTTAGGTACATTGTATGTAAACAATTACAGACATAAAATCGGGAAAGGGGATGTCGCTTTGATGTACATTAGGTGTCTAGAAGATGGCTGTAATGGATGGTATTAAATTTAAATTCAGTGATATAATATCATTGTTTATGAAAAACGATTCTGAGAGGAAACGCAATGTCTGTCTAAGATATTTGTTGCCGCCGTAGCGTAAAATAATCATGTAAAATACTAGCGGCTACAGACGAACAGCCGATTGACACACACACACACACACACACACACACAAACACTCGCGCGCACCAGCCGTTATTTTTATATTTATTTTTGTTTTAATTATATTTTGTGTCTTGTGAATTATATAATATTATGCAAATCAGGTATCGGCGCGTTATCAGCTACCGCCGGCTCGCCGGTCCGCGTAGCTTAACACGGCCGCCGCAAGTTTTGTCTTTCTCCGTACGTCGCCGTGAGATAGTCCATTGCGTCGTGTTAACAATATTGTTTTTTTTATCAAATTGTACTATACATTTTTACTTGTTGGGCCAAAAGGGCCGCATCTTATTTTTTATATTATTATATAATATTTTGTATTATATTTCTTTGGTGTACATGGTGCTAATTTGCAACTTTACTTTTATATTGTTATACCCTTTATATTTTATTACGTGGGAGCTAATCGCCATATCTTGTTGTTATTTTATATACGATGTGTGCGCGAATCGCCACGCTCACATATAATATTATTAATATTAGCTTTATTATACTCAGCAGCATAATTATTCATTTATAGGTATCGTTGTAATTGTGTACTTTATTTTGTGTGAACTTTATTTAGTGTATTATAGGCATAGGTAGCAGCTGGTCAGCAGTGCACCGACATGCCGTGAGTTATTTTTTATTGTTATCACATTATTAGGTATTGTTAACATTTATTCTGTTGAGCCAAAAGAGCTATATATTTTTTATTATTGTGGGGCCCGAAGGGCTTTTCTTTTCTATATTAAATATATCAGGCTACTGCTCTAATAGCGTTCTGTTTTATATTATACTTATTGTGTTATTGAGTCAGAAGGCGCCATAACTCTTTTTCATTAGATTTTATTATATCTATATTTTATTCTGTTTGGCCATAAGGGCTACACAGTTTTTAATATTTACTGTTTATATACTTTTGCCGAACAGGCATTTTGGTTAGGCATTTTATTATACAATATACATTTTTACGGGGTACAGTCAATTTGTCGTATGAAATTGGTCGTGGTAAAATTGGTCGTCTGAAATTGGTCGTTTGGTGAATTGGTCGTTTGGTAAATTAGCCGTTTGGTAAATTAGTCGTTTTCAAAATAATATGTGTAAATAATAATAATATGCAACAAATATGTAAATAATATTTGTAAAAATAATATATATGATAATAATTATAAGTTTTAAAAAATAATATATATGACAATAATTATAAGTTTTAAAAAATAATATGCGTAAAAATAATATATGTGACAATAATTATAAGTTTTAAAAAATAATATTACAAGTTATGAGCTATCCCAGACATATATTCATCAAATGTTCTATTATTAAATGTTTTACATATTGTATTTATTCTCTCAGCGGTGTCATTATATTTCTTTCGTTTTCTAGGTGTTTCTGCTCCAATGCAATATTGGACCATTTTCAGACGATTTAGTTTTTCTTCTTTTTGTAGGGCTCTTATAAATTTCCAAATGTTAGGGTGAATAGCATTTAATATGGACGAAAAACCATTATGCCATCCTTCTACTGAATTATTAGTTTTTGGAAGGTTATATTCATCAGCATAGCAATTCCAAATTGTAATTGAAAATTTTGGATTTTTCCTTTTCCCGTTCCTGTCCATTTTACCAACCCACGTTTCTTCAAAATAGTCAAGTAATCTCGATAAATCAGATTCCAGTTCTCGGTAAAAAGGAGTATCAACTAAATATTCAAAATATCTAACAACATAATCAACCGGAACATATGCCAAGGCGTTTAATTTTTTTATTTCAAAAGCGAAAGTAGAATCTTCTTTATATTGTTTAGATAGACCACATTCTTGAATGTGTCTCCAGACAGATTGAGCAAAGTGAAAATGACAACCACGAATTTTGATATCACTGAATTCTTTTTTGAAAGCAGTCATTGCACCAATTTCAAAATCTAACATGACCGTTTTTGGTTTTAAGTTGCAGTTTAATGTTTTTAGACTTTGCAACAAACGAATATATGTTTTCTTTTTTTTATTTGGTAAGAGTGCATAAACCGAAGGTAAGACATTTGAACATTGTATTCCATGGATAGTATACAATTGTTTGAAAATAGATGGGGCACATGAAAATGTGCCATCTGCATACCAATGATCTGCACATTCGGACATTTTTTGCAAATTTTCTTCCGTTGAAAATAATAAAAATCTATCGCAGTTATCCGGGTCATGATCGAAAGAATCAAATAGTAAAAATGACTTACCATCTGATGTTTTTTTATACTCTTCTGGGATAACAAGATCATATAATGATTGCGGTATACCTGGTGCTGCATTTTCACGTTCTCTTACACGCAGAATAGTCCTTTTCATTAACGGTATGCCAGGCATTTGACCAGAAACTGCTGTATTTAACTAAAAATATTAAAAATTATATTAGGTTGTATAATATAATAAATAATAATATATTAGAAAAATTAAATTATTATTTAAACAAATTGTATATATTACCTCTGAAGCAACAGTTGCTACAACAGATTGAGTACTTAGTTCAGTTTTCTTAGCAAGCTCCTTTAAATTTTCCATTGCTCTTTTCGCTTCGATTTTGGCAATATCGGGAAAATGAACATGTGATATCTTGGTTACATCACTTAAAATGGAATTTTCATCTGTATGTATTCTGGCTTTACATTTTTTTTTTAAATTTTCAACACATTTCCATATAGTTTTTTTATCATTTTTACTTTCAAAACGATATAAAAAACCATCATGCACGAGCATATATTTTCCTCTTTAACATTTAACAAAATTTAGAGGCATCTTAATTGTTATTATTTTTTTTTTTTTATTAACCCAACTACTTATATAATTATTAGCACTAGACTACACCGTCTATCACAGTCAACTGAAATTCGTGCACACAGACACAATATTATACACTATAAATGAAACATTATTTTTATTTCAGATAAAGATCATCCGATAATAATTGTTATCGTAATATAATATAGCTTGTAATAATGATAGTTGTTCATTTGCACACGCTATTATTCAACTTATTATCGCAAAACGTTTTATAATGATTATTGTCCATTTGACCTACATAACGTTTTTAACCAGTATTCACGTTTCGCGACGAAAATATACTACGACTATTTTACCAAACGGCCAATTTACCAAACGGCCAATTTACAAAACGATCAATTTACAAAACGACCAATTTCAGACGACCAATTTTACAACGACCAATTGTATACGACCAATTGACGTAGACTCCATTTTTACTTGTTGGGCCAAAAGGGCCGTATCTTATTTTTTATATTATTATATCATATTTTTTATTATATTTATATTTGAGTTACCTATTCGTCCTCGATTTAAGTATACACACAAATACATATACACACTCACACACCACTAACTCTAGTTGAGCTATAGACAATTTACACAAATTTACACAGGTCGGTCGGTGGGTTAGTGTAATACGCAGTAAGCGCGAAGTACTTTGGTAACCGGGCGCACGGCCTATTATTGTCCGTCCCCGGCCCTTTCAATATTTTTTTATTGTTATTACTTATTATTAAAACGGTGCTTGTAACTTGAATTAATACTATTCATAATAATTTTCTTAAATTATCTGTGATGCTGGAAAAATATTATACATACTAAATACTTGTGTAAGACTGCAAAATGTTTTTTTCTATGTATTTTTAATATTTTTTAATTGATATTAAAACAATATTCAAGAGTTTTGTATTAAGCTTCCATGGTTTTTGACCTAACCAATACAATTTTATTAACATGTATAGAAAAAAAAAATTGAAAATGTCTGCCAACATCTTAAGACAAGTCAAAATATTTTGAAAATTTCATCAAGTACATGAATTAATGAAATAAACATATTATGGTGTAAATTTTAAATGTCTACGCAGTTATTCGCTTTTAAATAACAATAAAATAAGAAAATCGCTACAAAATATATCTAAGTAATATCCAATATTTTAAAAATTTCAACCTAAAATGGTCATAAAAATTTAATTTGACTTTCCAGTGGAAATTTTTCATAAATTTAGACAAACTTATAAAGAATCTTGTATTAAATTTTGAAGTCAAAGATATAAAATATAATTTGCTGATTTTCGTGATTTTCAAGAATTTTGTTAAAATTCTAAATTAAAACGCTCATAAACAATTATGATACATTTACGATCAGTTTTTTTAAATTTCCTCTAACAACAATTTATGAGGTACTTTGTACCTATTAGGTACATTTTCAAGTTTTTGATAGAGTGATAATTTTTTTATGAACATTAAATGAAAAAAAAAATAATGTACAAAAATGCCAATTAATAGTTAGTTCAACACAACTTAAAATACTTTGAAAATTGTATGGTGTATAGAAAATGCTAACACTCAGTAAAAATTGCATGTATCTATAATCATTTTTTTTAGAGTTACACTAAAAACCAAAATCGTTTTTTTCGAACACTGGATTTCACTAATTTTTTTTCCCTAAGAGTTGTGGAACTTTGGTAATTCTTCTATGAATACAGAGGGAGTAATGTTGTTTTAAAAAGTTTTTGCTATGTTGTACATTTGTAAGACGGAAATAACAAACGAGGGGTACCAGTTCATCCTCTTAATAATAAACATTGACATGATATGTATTTTTTTGTACAGTTGTGTGCAACCCACCAGAAAAAATGCGAAGTGGAGAAACATTTCCACACACTCTCTTTGCCAAAAATTGAAAAATTCAATTCCAATGATGCAGTACAGAATTCTTATTTACTTGTACAAAATTGTACAAAAAAGTACATAAATTATACATTCTGCTTTTTTTTACTACATTTTCGGCGACGGTCATGACGTAACTGTGTTCAACCATAAAATTTAACAAAATACTAATTAGGGCCTGGATGATCAACATCATTTATATATTATACAAATGATCAAAAAAATAAAAAATAAATGCCTTAAAAAATATTATAATTTGTTAATGTGACCCAAATATTACAAAAAAACGCTCTCCAAGTCAGGGATCGGCATGTAAACTTTCTAAATTTTTAATTTTTAGAAATTCATTAACTGTATATTATATATGTATATGTCTTTTATTACAGTATTATAAAACCAAAATTGTACTTTAAGGAAATTATTAATTGCAATTTAATTTATTGAGAAGATATTAGAATATTAGATAATAGTAGAATAAAGTAAGTTGAATACAAGTATTGAAGTATACAACTGGTTTGAATTTAACAGGTCATTAAAGTCATTTTGCTTATTTTATTTCTTAAACTTGATAACGAATAATGAACCTAATATGAATATTTTCCGAAATCACACGAAGTGGTATAACAATTTGAATCCAGAAAAACGTAGGTACTAGAAAAAAAATCAAATTCATTTTCATTTAATGAGATAGATCTTCGAAACTGGAGAGCGGATTATTGTCTAGGCTCTTGTTAGATTCACATTGGCTAGAAGAAATGCAGTGAAGATTTACAGAACTTTATTTTTTTTATAGTTAATTCACTACAAAGCTTTTAAAAAAATTAAAACAGATTTTATTGGACATTTTTTGATGTTTTTCAGCTTTAAAGTTTTGTAGTGAATTAACAATTGAAGATAAAGTTCTAAAAATCTCCACTGCACTTCTCCTGACTCCTAGCCAATCTAAATCTACAAGACCCCCAAAACAATAAAATCGGTTATCCAGTTTGGGAAGTCTTTTCTAAATGAAAATCTACCGAATATCTAGCTATTATAGTTTATGAGAAAAGTTAAAATATATACATTTTGGGACAGTTCACGCCAACTTTTTTGTGAATTCAAATTGTTATACCACTCGAGTGTGATATCGAATCTTTCTCATTAATATTTTGTATTAAAGCTAGATAAATTACCCCAACTACTCATTATTACTGCGTTACATTTTATTATTGTTTTCCTAGCTAACACAAATTCTTGAAGTTTTCTAAATTCAGACTTTTTTATTTCAATTGCCATACTTGCTTGATTAAAAATCAATAAAGTAAAATTCTCATAAAACTGTAATTCAAATTAACAAAGTTACGTATTGATTTTAAAATTACAAATTACAAATTTACAAACAGATTTTGGTTTAAATTTACAGATAAAAAGTTTGTTGTTTTTTTCGATTTGTGGAAAAATAAAAATAAATACTATTGACTAATAATTAACTCCTCTTAGTTGTTAAAAAAACAGTAAACAATTTCTAAAACTTCAAAAATTACCTTTAAAGTCACAAAAGTGACCTAAAAACGAAGAATGGCAAAATTAAAATTAGTTATAGATATACATTTGTATGTTATAGTTGAAATACATTTTAAGCTAAAAAAGCGTCGTCGATCTGTTTGAAAAAAATATGAAAAAGTCATCAACATATAGGCCCCATAATAATAAATTTAAATTTAAAAAAATTCAATTATTTACACACCATAGACCCTAATACCTATTTACCTACTGGTCGGTACCATAGGTTGGAGGTAGATAATATTTATGCATAGGTACTAACAATATAAATTGTCCGTATTTTCGTTTTGTAACTCCCTTCATGTACGATATACCCTACACGGCTACACTCTATAGACTCTAACAGTCTAGCACATCGGTACATGTCCACCTCTGTCTCAAACCACATTATATTATGCGCAAAGAATAAGCAAGGCTTGAAGTCGATTTTAAGTATCGTTAAAAAAATAAAAACCATGTAATAAATCAAAAGTGATATCAAAATCAATTATTTTTTCTAATTAATTGCATTTGTATCTACGTTACATATCGATAAAAGCCATCAAGAAACCTAATCAGGTAATTTAAATTATATATATTTTATAAAGTTCATAATTAATTTAAGAGACAACATACGATCACAATTTAATAACTATCAAACTAGATAATTAATAATTATTATTAATGTATGAAAAATCCTTCAATAATTTCGATAGACATTGAAATATCACTCTCCATAATATTGCACATTTCAATAATATTGAAATCCAAAACGAATTATCGAAGAATATTTGTCGAAAATATTGTTTTAATTTTTTTTCTAACAGAAATATGGTTATGTTAAAGTTAAAAATGTATTACAAAATACAAAGTTCCTCACGAGTCGTCGTTAGTGGAAATAAAAAAAAAGTTGATCTTAATTCCACAGTAATTATTTTACGAGCGTCTAAAATTATGATTTTGACAAAATTCATCATAATCAAGAAAATTAGCAAATCAATCTGAGTCAGAAATGTATAAAAAATGTTCTATTTTGGTGTGTATACCTAAGTTATTTTCAAATCTTATACAAAGACATATATATATATAATAATACAAAAATCAACATAAGTTGTACTACATTTATATCAAATATATTTTTTATTAGTGTTGAATATTCAACGATACATAAAGAAATTGTTTTCTCATATCGAACGATTTTAATATTGTGTTGTAGTTAAAATATCATTACCTTTATATTAACCGTTCAGGTACTTACGTGAAATGTTCACAAAATATTTATTCTATAATTCTCTATACATGATAAACATTTCTAAATATTTGACTTATTTTGAGCAGTTATATAGACATTTTCATTTTTTTAGTATTTTTCTATAAATGTCAATAACATATTTATTTTGTGGTCAAATTGCTTGAAAATTGAATAGAAGGCTCCTCAAAAGTTTTTCATGTAGAAGTTGAGAAATATTTCAGATCCATACTTATAACTTTTTTATCATTATTTAAGGTTCAAATTTTGACAAAATTCATCAAAATCTAGAGAATTATACAATTTAATCTCATAAATAGTTTATTCAGTAATCAAAAAATATAAAATGATATGTTAACACAGTTTTTTATAGACATGTTAAGTTTAAATTTGATCGAAATTTGATATTTAAACGAAGAATAGAGATTC